AGCCCTCAGAATCAAGCTTCAAAAAACCAGAATCAAAGCTAGAAGAACCCCAGAATCCAGCTGAAGAACTAAGGAAACTTTCTATTTCAAACCATGTTTTCAACTTGTAATAAAATAAGAGATTTCAGAGATTTTCGAAGCTATTTTGAGTCTGAAGTTTTCAGAGAAGAAAAATGGAACTTTTCAGAGAAATTTGCTGATAAAAATGTGTCTCCCCTACCAAAAATTTGTCTTTTTCAGAGTATAAGAGGTTATATATAGGCTGCCTAAAGGGAGGGAATCTTCTTAGCATATTCCTTATCCTAAAGAATATTAGTACAGCCCTTTTTAACAGCCCCTAGTATAGCTATCTCATATTTAGCATATTTTAAAACAACTAGGACAGTTGTACACCCTTCCTAAAATATCTGATTTTTAGCCTAAGTAAAAACCCCTTTTTATCCTTTAGGTTATCACTTTTTTCAGGTGTTACCTAAACTTTCTAATTCAAACAGGGCCCCTAAAGTTCTACTGACCTTCAAATCCAAACCAATAGAAGCAGAAACACAAAGGAAAGACCCTAGATTTGAATTGAAATAACAAAACTAACAAGCATGATAATATAATCCTAGACTAACTACTCGGTAAAAATGCAAAAGCTATTTTAATCAAGCCTGAAATGAGAACTAAACTTGGACAAAACTGATAGCAGTAATGGCAACAATTGAAGAAACAAGCATGGAGGAGAAACTTTGAAACTAATATTAACAAGAATCTTCAGAGAAGAACTATTAATCTTAAAATAATTGATGAAATTCTAACCAATATGATCGTTTAAATTAAGCAGTCAATCACTCGAAATAGACACTTAATTTTAATAAACACGACTTAGCTAAAATAAACAATTTAGACGATCTTTGATCACTGAAGTTCAGAAAATCCAACTAACACAAATAAAATCTTCAAGCAATAAGAGCAAAAGGCTTAACTAAACTGGACAAATTGATCGAATCAAACAAACTAGCTAAAACCATATGCAGGGAAACACATAAAAGGCAAAGAGATGGAGTCGATATTCAGAAAAAGTAAAGAAAGCTAAAAACAGCAAAGCAAATGCCTGAAAATTGACGAAGAACTTCAAAACGGCTCTAATTTTTGAAAGTGAACCAAAATTAACGTTAATCCGTCGTTCTTACTAAGAACGAACTAACTAACATGCATTTTGGATAACCTCGAGCCGAAGAAATAGATCGACTGGGTTCCTAACCCCTTTTGTAGATTTGGGATTTAGGGCTTTTGACAGGAGTATTCGAGTAACCATTGAGGGAATCGTGAAGAGGGGGAATCAAAGGTGATGAGGTTTGATTTTGGGGTAATTTGGGGTGATTAGAGTTTTTGACCGGAACTTTGATCTAAGATTCGACACGCTCAACCATGACTCGAGGGGAACCGATTGGGGATTCATAGAGAGGGAATGAAAAGGAATCTAGGGTGTAATTTTGGAACAGTTTGGAGCGGTTCAAGTCTTGGCCGAATTTTCGATTTAAGATTCGAACGGACCAAGCTTGATTTGAGGGAAATGAAGTGAAGATATGGAATGGGGAGATGTGAGGGAGTTTATTGTATCATTTTGGGACTGGTTTGACCACCGGAACCGTCGTGAGGCGATTTTCAGTGGGTGGTTTGCGGTGGAGTTGGTGAGGGAATGAAGGGCGGCTAAGGTTCCGACATTGAGAGGAGGGAGACGAGGTGAGAGGGGGTCTGATGAGGGGGTTAATCTCTCTTTGGACAGTTATATGTGATGGACTAGACAGTTCCGGGCCGTTGTATTGATGAGATCCAACGGTCGAGATCAAATGGACATAAAATGGGGTCGTTTGGGGGTTATACAGAGTGGACCGAGTAGGGGACACGGGTCTGGGCCGGATTTGGAGACAGGTAATGGGCAAAAATTATTTGGGCTTGGGGAGTTAAAATGGCCCAAACAAAATCAGATTCTCATTTCCTTTTCATTTCTTTTTCTTCTTTTTTTAATTAACTAAAAATTCTAAATCATCTAAAAATGTGAAACTGAAGTAATCAACTAATTATAAAAATTATAAACATTACTTAGATATATGTTAAAAGTGAAAAAAATCAATAAACTAAAATTAAAGACAAAAATATAAAATGAGTTATTTCTTGTTGATTTTCAAATTTTATAAAACAAGTAATTACGGATTAACTCTAAAAAGTGTAAAAATAAATCCTAAATGCAATGCATAATAGTTTTGGTATTTTTATGATTTGAATAAAATTAAACATGCACACAACAATGCAAATAATCAGGAAAGTTCTACAATAATTCCTAAAATACCCAATAATTAAGGGAAAAAATCTAATTTTGGGAATTCGGTAGGAGTACTTCATGTGAGGCAAAAATCACGTGCTCACAAGTACCATCGTAGCTTGCTTTAGGCGCGATTAATAAATCATTGTGGCTATGGGTATGGTTCCCGTGGCATGGTCACGATGCGTAAATCTCATTCGGGTGTGCATTTCATGTGACCCGACCATAACTTCGAACATTAATTAAAATAAACATGTTGTAAATTGCGGGTGCATTTCATCTGATGCAATTCGCAATGTGTGCAAAAACAAACAAGTGTACGACATCGTGACTTGTTCAAATAATTTCGATAAATCCTAAAAAGTTGTTAGATAAATAAAAGCGGTTATAAAGTTAAAAATGCACAATAGGTTTAAAACATGTAATAAATCAGATAATTAGGTCAATTAATAATAGTTGAGCGACCGTGCTAAAACCATGGAACTCGGGAATGCCTAACACCTTCTCCCAAGTTAATAGAATTCCTTACCCGGTCTTCTGTGTTCGCAGACCGTAAAAATAGAGTCAATTTCCTCGATTTGGGATTTTAAAATAAACCGGTGACTTGGGACACCATTAATTATTCCAAGTGGTGACTCTGAATTTTAAATAAAATAATCCTGTTTTCAATTGTCACTTAAATTGAAAAAAACTCCTTTATACCCCCTCAGGTAGAAAAAGGAGGTGTGACACTAAAGTAGCGGGTAATGTCTGGGGTATAGAGAGTAATAAGATCCTTATGTTAGTAGTGAATCCTTTTCGAATGTGACCGGATTTCTACATAGAGCTTTATAATAACCTTAATAGGTTTGAAAATATTTTATAGCTCTTGATGCTCGCAGGTCGCACGAACTATTTGTCCATATGAATAACGTGTGTTATTGGCATGATATTGGTTTGAGTACAGCCCACCATGAGCAAAGTGGGAGATGTTCGATTTATTTTCAATTTGGGTCGCAGGTCGCTCCATGTGGGTTGACCCGACCCATTTATGAATAAGACAAGATTACATAACCTCTTATGAGAAGTTACTCCACATGTTGAATTTGTGGGAGCATATTCTATATGGTTATTTTTTGGGTGGGAACAGTTTTCTTCATAACTGCTTTCTTTTGTAACTCCAAATAAAAGGGAACAATACATACTCTTCAAAGATACAAGAAAAACACAAAGAACTCATCTCCTTTCTTCTCATGACAAGAAATACACAGAGGACACTTAGTTTGTGGAATAAAAAAATTTATTTCCAAAGTGAAATAGAATCGGTGTGGAGCAATTTCTATCGCACAAATTTTAGCGATCTTCTGTTGTTGCTAAGAAGTACACAAATTCGATGTCCCTGTTACGATTAGATCTTTAGTTGTCCATTCCTCAGATTTTTTATAGCCTTGCCGGCCTAAGATATTACATAACGGTATTCAGTTGGCTTTGTCTGCCTAATTAAGTCATATATATTCAAAAAAAAAGTCTTATATATTCAGATAACACAAGTTTAGTTGGTACGCTCGTCAAGTAAGACACTAGGTGCGGTCTCGCCTCCCCGAATTTGGGGTAAGGAAAATCTCTCACGTTTCATGAAGAAGAAAGATGTGGAGGACAACCTTTTCCCAAATTATATCCTCAAACGTATTGCTCTTAATTTTGTTCTTGCCGGTAGGGTGGCATTAAGTTCGTTCTTCTGGCTAGTCATGAACAATCCATGCGTAGAAAAGAAGGTCATTAATGAAATGTCAATTGTTTTAATGGAAACCCGCGGAGAGGATGATGAATCGAAGAGCCATTGGTTTTTGATGAAGCTAATAGACTCCTTTATGTGAAAGCAGCATTGGCTGAAACTATACGTTTGTATTAGTACCAGAGGATTTCAAATAGGTTGTTTCCAATAAAGTTCTACCTGATGGCGCTTACGTTCCTGCTGGTTCAACGGTTACGTAATTATTCTATTTGCTATGTGGGGGAAAAGAAGAATATTTGGGGGAGAATTGTTTGGAGTTTAAGCCGGAGAGATGGCTATATATCGGAGGGGACCGGTTCGAACCGCTAAAGGATGGGTATAAGATTGTGGCATTCAACGGAGGACCTATAACTTTCTTAGGCAAGGACTTGGCTTACCTGCAAATGAAATATGTAGTTATTGCTGCACTGCTTAGGTATCGGCTGTCACTGGTTTCCGGTCGCGTGGTTGAACAGAAATGTATGGTGAAAGGGTAATTATTGGCCATTTGATTTGTATTTTCTTTGCTCTATTTTTCAACTAGTGAGGGTTAGCCCGGATTAAGCCCAGCCCAACAGCTATTTAATATTATTGTTAATATTATTTTTAGCGATAGATTTATGCCTTTGAGGGCTACTTAAAACAGGTCCACCATCCTTTTTTGTAGAATAGAGTTAAATGTGTGAGGCTGTAAGCAATATGTATTTATATGGATATTTTGGGTTCTTTGCCTATTCAACTAAAACTACAGATAGAAAACATAGAGTCCCAACATAAATGCACACACCTCCACATGAGAAACTCCACTGAATTAATCAGATTCTAGCAAAATTGGAGCTGTTAAGCTAGTAAATAAAGAAAGAATAGACAAAATCACCAAATAACCTGTGATTTTATCTTAGAAGCAATATTAATTTTTTTCCAGATTTAGAGCCAGAGTAAAGGCAATTATGCAACATGAAAATTTAACATTAGGATGTCCAACTCTGAATCTCACAGCTTTTGTTGAATAAAGAGGAAAACCAAACTGGAAATATGTTGTTACAAAATTATAATATTTCTGGTTAATGAGAAAAAAAAAACAAGTCGAATGAACAAATCCATAACATCACCGAAAATAGAACTTGAGGTGAAACCTTGAAATGGTTGCACATGAATTATGAAATCAAGCACAAACTTTGATATTTCTCCTCTACTTGTCCAGTATGAAGCCCACCAGCTAACTCAGTCACTTGGTTCTAATGTATTCAGAATGTTTTCTTCAAGATAGTTGTCAGTGCTTGATGCAAGGATTGCATTTGTTAAGCAATCGTACAATTGGAAAGGCCTTTTTCCATAAACGTATAAACTCTGTGATCCCAGTCCAGATATAATACTCTGTAAATTTTTCAGGCTGAGATACCACTCTGAGGTACAATTGTGCTTTTAACTTCCATCATATTTGCAACACCTGATATTTCAGGGAAAACTATGATTTCGATGAGGGAAAGCAGAAGGCGACAAACTTCTATAAGATTGTAAATATAATCCTATCATGTTTGCAGTTTACAGAGTAGAACAATAAATACCGAACTGGTACATTAAGTTCTCATTATGTATAGGATCAAGGGCAGAGCTGAAGTACAGTTGGTCTATTGTGTAAAGTCTAACTACCTTGCATTTCTAAAGGGATTTTTTTCATACCTTAAACTGGTAATATCTTGGCCATAAAGATTACCCTATCAAATGAAATGAATAAAACAATAACAAATCACGAGAAATAAAGTTTCTCACAGTGAAACGAAGTGAAAGGTGGTCTTAAAGAAACATCTATAGATATGCAATAATGTTATTAGGGTTATCTTATAGGAACATCCATAGATCTGCAATAACGTTATTACTACCAGAATATAATAGCAAATGGTTGGTGACAAATGATCACTTTTTCTCTACAAAACGTGTTTGTTGAATTCCTGATTATAGAACTTCACATCTGTGGTATACCTTTTTATAGCAGACCAACTGAAGTCAATAAACATGCAGAACATTAGAAAGAATTGACTATTGGACTTTTTCTCATTTGAAAGTCCATTAACCTACAACTTTAATGCTACACTCACTGTAAAACCTTATATTTACCGAACGGAATACACTTCAACAGAAGAAAGAAGTAGCAGAAATTCCAGTACAAAGAACAAGAAAAGGAAAGAAAAGTAGTATGTCCAGTGCAATCTTCAACCTACCTAGAAATAAAAAGAAATCTAGTTATCAGTTTTTCTATGCGATTATTATACTAATACTTCTAATATAATGTCAAAATCAATATGTGCTTCAATAAACAGATTCTTCAAATTTTCATTTAGTATAACAAGACACCTATGACGTAAGGATGAACAAACTCAATTAGTATGATGCTGACGCAAGAATATAATACTACGGACGAAAGAGACCAAGCTTGAGTTAAAGCAGGACAAAAGAAAACAACACAAGCGATTAGGAAAATCTGCAGTAAAGCTATTACTGTCGAATACGAAAGAATATTGTTGGATAAGAGATAGGCTATTTCAGACTGAAGATTAGACTTATCATGCTGATTCAACTATGTGATACGAAATACACTCATCAAGTGAAAGAGATTTCTGTTTCACTTTGATGATGGTGTCAGCAAATTGGGTCTTCAACATTGTAGGACGTAGTGCATTGCTCAGGGAAAGATCAATATTCATTTTTTTTTTTGATAAGGTGGAAAAGATCAATGTCCATAGGAGGATGTCAACCTATTTTCAAAAAACAGTTATCGGCAAATTAAAATTGAGTTCATTTTGAGCAAAAAAAATGAAATGCCAGAAAGAGAGCAAGCAAGATACTCACCGTCACCATATGTAGCAGTAGAAGCACATGTTGACTTACTTGGTCTAGAACATGATTTTTTTCTTAATAAAGGTTATGTCAACAACCGGTATATTATCAACATCAACATGTAAATAAAGAACATTAACGTTTTATTGAGCATGCTATTGGACAAACGTAAGAAAGTTTTGCAACCACCATGGTAGTATTGATCAGTTTTACATGAAACTAATGTCAAGGAGTTTGGATCAGTGCTAGTGATCTTGATCTTGTTCTAGCTTTTTTTTCTGTTAGAAAATCTGAACCACAAAGATAAGTACAACTTTTTATTAGCAATTGAAGATTTGATACTGCAAAGCCACTGAAGAAATAACTTCAGCTGAGCGGGGAAAATGTTCAGTTGTTAAGCATATTGTCAAGCCCTTTAGCTGCATCAAAGTTCTCCTTTGTTTCAACAAAACATCATTAGGTACTCTATTCTTTATAGTTACCAAAATAAGAATGCAGCAGAGAACTCATACAATGACAACAAATACACAGATTGTAGGATAAAATGTAAGTAAAGAGCAACTAATGCATTAATTTTGACAATCACCTAATATTTATAGCTTAAAGATTGTCAATTATCAACTATAAGACAATGACATTATTTTATGAAATTTATACACTAAATACAGATCTGTGCTTTTTCCTTAGCCAAGTCTATTGAAAGGATTAAATTATTTCCAGTAATAAATTACAGTAAGAGTAATAAAACTTAAGTGATTCTTACCGAATCTAATGAGTGTACACCATAGTAAATCACTTTGGAAAGTTGACAATGACTTAAACTTAGTTATAGCTTAAAGATCATCAAATTGTAAGACAATAACATTACTTTGTGAAATTTATATGCTAAATATAGATCGGTGCTCTTTCATTGCAGCCAGAAGCAGAACACAAAAAACTTTTTGGCAGGGGGATGTTGAGAATAAAATAGAAAACAGGAATGGAAAATATTATCAATTAATTAGTTTTACGATACTAACTATTAAATCCAACTATAATTCTACAGTTATCGCTTCATATTACAATTCGTTTTGCTAATATGAACTATTTCTACAAAGAACCATATAAATATGATTAGGCACTTTATTCTTTTCGGTTACCAGAACAAAAATACAGCAGAGTACTAATACAACGACATCAAACACAATAACATAATTTGCAATATCAATTACTGGTTAATAGTTCTTTTTTACTATAAAATTGCAAGTAAAGAACAAACAATGCATTAACATTGACAATCAACTAAACTTATTTATAGCTTAAAGATCATGAACCTATAATCCTAGTGAGGCAAAGCGGCTTCAGTTGAGAATTTAGCGCAACTGCATTCATAACTCTCATAAATGCCTTTGCTCTAGCAAGCCCTCACCCACCTGTCTTATCAGTCCCTAATTGCAAAACGGAAAACCTAAGCTAATTGGTCCCCTTGAGGAACATATTGTACATATGTAATTTTGGACTATTTAGTAGAAACAAATAAGTTTAATCAAACTTATCCCTTCAGAAAATCATTATGAACTCCAACTAATAAACCTTTTAAAAATAATGAAATTTTCAAATAATGCAAACCTTTTGAAAATCATGCAGTAGAAAGATTAGTATCAATAGCGTATTATCTGAAAATCATGCTCGATCCCTCCCTTTTCAAGTCGATCCCTTGTGTTCTTGAATCAGATTCTAATGTCTAACCTTGTCGAAACAAGAATTTTGATTTTAATTTTTTAGTGTCAAACTATAGCGTTTGGATCGATGTTGTAGCATACCAATTTTATTTTCACTATCATGTGGTAAACGTCTACACCCCATAATGTCTAGTTCAAAGGGTTGGGAAGTCAACTGGTAGTTTATAATCACTTTCTTTTGTAATTAGATATTCGTCCTAGATTTTTCTGGACAAAGGAACAGAGAGTGATCGACGAACAATTTACTCAGTTTAAACAATTCTATGCAACCACTATTCCAAAAATCAAGAAAATAAGAAACCAAAATTCACCTTATAACTGTATGACCAACGCGAATAAATTGTCCAGGAAGAGAGAAGATTGAAAGAGACAGAGGAAATTGGAAGAGGAGTTGAGCACTAACAATTTCGAGGGAGAACAGTATGAAGTGGAGTATAGATGTTGTCCGTTTGAGCGGTGTAAGGAACGTGGCAAAACCAAAGTAGGGTTAGCACGTAACTTTTGCCAAAATATTTGCAGTTTTCCCAAAATACCCCTAGAGACCCCAAGCTCCTCAAACTGTCGCTTATTAATAAGGGGAATTGAAAAGTTGAACGGATCAGCACAACAACTATTTTCTGCCATACTTACTCCATATCCCCCAAACCACACAGAGAAAATTACACGGATAATCAAATGTTCCGTCAACATATTATATAATTAAATTCAAGATTAAAATTGTTGGTAGACTATAAATAAAGAAAATTGTAAGAAGAAGAATATAAGAAAGGATCTTATCCACTTTTGCTTGACTATGACAGATTTTTAACATCCAGGCTCTAGCATATTAAAATATTAATCTCCTTCTCAAGTGATAAAATAGATTATAAGTCACGCAGGTCACTTTGTAACCACGCCTTCGATCCTCTTGCTAGAAAAGTTACTGCAAGTTTTCTAATTTAGTTTAGTTGGTCATGTAAAGTACTGCTAAAGCCAAGAGCTCATGATTGAGCAACATTTTATTAGTATTTGGAATGTATTTTCATAATCTAATTATTTCATGACACAACACTACTCTTCCTGTCTCGTGCTGAATNCGAAAAATCAGATTGAGGAACCAAATTTTGCCAACATGGGATCATCAAAGAGAGAAGTATAGAGTTGTGAGCGTAAGAAGTGGCATTATTGCAGTCAATTTAAATTACGGTTCTCTTGTATAAAGGCATGAAATACATTCATTAAGGTCTTTTTCACAACTAAAGATGCACCTTCACGGAATTTGAGAGAGACCAAATAAATGAGTTTTAACATAAATTAAGCCACTGCCGTCTGCTTGGTCCAAAAAGCTTTTGCTATCCGAAACTACATATCTTGTTGATTGGTAAAGCATATAGCTACTAAGACACTCCATAGTTCCAAAACCAAGATAAATTAGCATACTATTTCTCACCGGTCATTTTCCTAGACAGTCTTCTCACCAGAACTAAGATCAATTCATTTTCTGAGATGCCCTGAATTTTTGAGATAATTAATTTGATAAGTTATTTGCTTAGCCTAAAGTACAAAAGAAACTTAAGACCACCTTATAAAGAAAGTTACATAGTGGCTGATGACAATCCAAATTACCTTTTCAATTCTTCAGTTATACTGTAAGACCTCAAATTAATTATTAAGAATAAAAGATAAACCAATACATTGGCAGAGAACTAATGTCAAAGCAACTTATTTCAAGCATTAGTATCACCTGTTTAACTCAACGTCAGATAAAAAATTTCACTCAAAATAGCATATATCAAATAAGAAAAAAATTTAAAATACCATATTAGTATTCTGTTGCTTCTCACCTGTTCCAAATTAATATTGTTTAATCTCTGCATACCCTTCTGCCCATAAAGCTCTCATTACTTCTGGATAAGCGAGAAAATAAAGAAGAGTATAGAAGTTAGTAGGGCAAAATTTTAGTATGTCATAAGAAAAAGAATAAATTTACATACTAAATTACAAAATGTGTTGTCGAAATCTTGTAGAGCAATGAAATCAATGATAGTAGAGAGTAAGCAACTTCGATTCATTTTGGCAAATAAAAAGAGCAAAGCAACAAAAAAGATTGAAAATAGCAGCTTTTGCAGACGTGGATGATCCAATATATATAATTGGACGAAGGAAGATTTCATTACCAATTCTCTTTAGAATGATAGAGCTTTAAATCAGAGTAATCTTTCGAAAATCCAAATAACCCATCCTTCTGCTTGGTGAACAGACGGAAATGAGATATCAAATTGCCTACAACATATGGTAATCGATCTTGTAGAGACATCTACGTCATAATACCAAACCTTGAAACCTGTATCACCAATAAACTAAATCAAAGAAGAGTGAAATCATTTTGAATCTTAGTTTGCTGATCAGTCAAGCTTCTTGATATTTCAACTATCATTACGACAACATGCACAGATAAAACAGAAAATAAACAATATAGAAATGAATACCAAAATGGGATATCAAGAGATTGATAAACAAAGTTTGATAAAAGTTTACTTGAAAAGAAAAGAGCGTTGGAGGAGAGGAAGTGGGTAGATCTTCCTAATGGTGGCAAGCCGCCTGTCTGATTCTACTTTTTGACCAATTTGATTCATTTGTTACCTGATTCTGGACATGTATGTGCTCGACAAATTGAGCCTACTAATGTGTTTAGTTGTAGAATACCTAGAAAAAGTGGAGAAGTTAATCTGGGCCTATTATCAAAAGCATTGGTGGATTAGACGTGAATTGGATACATCTAAAAAACTATCCAAAACAATAGAGAAACTACCAGATACCCATCGATGCATTAAAAGAAATGAAAGAACAGAGAAAAATTCACCACAATTAAATAGAATAAAACACACACCAAAGACAACTTGGAACTCAGACTGAGAAATGTAAAATAAAAAAGAGAAAAAACTAAAATACAGATGCATGTGTGAGCAAAATTTTCCTTAAAAAAGGTAAGATGGAAAATAAAATTCAAAAATGGAGCTAAGCAGAATGAGCAGAGTAGTAGAAGCAACACGGAAAAGCATCCAAACCAAAGTATAACCAGAACAAATAAGACAAATGATCAATTCACAAAATAAAGTAGAAACAAAGCGATATAATAGCAAGTAAGCAGCTTGGGTCCGTTTATGGCAAATTAAATTCACCAAAGCAAAGAGACGACACTTTGGAGTGAACGACAGAAGAAATTTTAAACAATTGGAAAAGAGAACATAAAATCAAGAATTAGTCCTTGAAATCTGATATACATAAAGTGAGTACATCGTGGTTTGCCCTTATAAACAATAGTACACGCCCTAAAAGACACGAGGATAAAATGATCAAATTAACCTAGAAAAGGCTCAGAATCTCCATAGTACCTTCTTCAGCAGAATCGGTTTCGAGACATCTCAGAGAATCCAGTCATTTGAAGCACTGCTAGAAAAATTTGTGCAAAATCGAATAAAAATCAAAGGCAATAGAAATTTCTAGACTGCACTGTACAATGGGAAGAAATTGGAGAAAATCAGGAGGAGTCATGGAAGGTAGGTGGGAGAGAACAGAACTTAGTATTTTACGCAGTAAAATTGCAGTACGCGTGTTTTCTTAAAAGAGATCGGTGACTTAATTAACAATTTATCCCTAATAAACTCATAACTACCAAAGTACCCCTGTTCGTCCCCTGTTCGCACACCCCAACTGCCGTTTCTAAATATTATATATATATATCCGTTTGGTCACTTTGAGATTGAAAATGATTTTTACTTTACAACAATGTATACTTGAACGGGATATTAGTATGGCAAAACTCAAAAGTATACTGTCGACTAATACCGTTACAACAATATGCTGATATACTTCATATGTTTCCGATTTTCAGATAATAATTAAAGACCATTTTTTTCATTACTCCATGACTAATGAGTTTAACTTTTACATATTCATAGTCTAATAGATTCATACTGCCAAGTGTCCATGAACAGTTTAAATAAAACAGCTCACTTGCTACAACATATTAAAATACCCTATAATAAAGAAATTACAACATACTAAAATACACGCAAGTAGAGAAATTACACTATCAGCATAT